GTTTATGTCTGTAACTTGGTTGATCCTTGGTTCAGTGGTTTTTCGAATGGTGACTCAATAGATTCAAATTTCTCTCCGTTACAAAACGATTCCAGTGCTTGTCATATAGGTTCTTGTATTGACTTGAACTGGAATTTGGCCAATTTTCTGACTGGCTACTGAAGATTTATGTGAACAAAAATGCTTATATGCAGCTTGACGTCACGGTAATATTGATAATACATATTCGGATTGGTTACGCTGAAAGACTTTGAACATCAATCATACCCGAGACGTTTAAATCGTAAGCATTGAAACTTTAAACTTTAAGATTGGGGAACAAATTTATCGGGATCGGGATTTTTAACAAAATATGTCCGGGATTTCGGGATTTTCTTATATTTAAACCGGGAAATCGAGATGAGACCCCTTCTCGCCCCCCTTCATAACTCCTGGTCCACATCAATTATATATAAACTGTGTGTTACTAACACACATACATATATATAAATATATATATACATATTATATTATTTTGTGAACAGTGGCAGATTGACCGGGTGGGGGGGGTGGGTCTGGGGGTTGCAACCCCCTTTTTTGACGATCAATGCTTTTGAATGGAGACATGCCCTGCTTTCATGATATTCATATATTCATGAATTAGGAAGAATATTCATGAATATTCATGAATATTCCAGTTTTATTCATGGGTTCTATTCCAGTGTCAAATTTATTCATGAATAAGAAGCATGAATAAACTGGAATATACATGAATTCTTAATAACTGTATGAAGACAACCAAAAAGAATTGTTAAAATGCCTAAAGCTTACTATAATGAATTTTTTTTCTTTCTAAAACTAATTTGGGGACAAAAGAAACCTTTTTTTGGGACATGAATAATCATGAATAAACTTGAATGTTTGGACTTAGAATTTTTCTAATACATATAACATGAATAAGGATGAATAATGATGAATGAAATTTGGACTTAAAATATTTCTCGATTGTGTGACAAACATGAATAAGCATGAATAAAGCTGCATGAAAATGACTCAGAATTATATGTGACCAACTGCATTAATATTACCGATGAAAAATGTAATTTGTTCTAGGATTTTGTTGTTTATTTGGACATTTTTTGGCTGATGAAAAAATCATGAATATTTCATGTGACATCAAGCCCTTATGTTTGGTTTTTTCAATGACCCCACCCTAAAACTGCTGCTTTGAAAAATTGGATGCCCTTTTCTTAATATTTCTCCCCCACTTGCTGCTTCTTTAAATGAAAGATATCCACTTTAAGGAATTTGACTTATTATTTTAATGCACTTGATAGATCAATAAATGGAAGTGAAGATGAAAAAAATTATTTTCAAAATATTTATATTTTAAGTGTTTTCAGGTTAAAAATAATTAAAAGTAATATTCTGTTATGCATTTGCATTCAATTTGTTTTATATTTTTTTTTTTAGAAAAAAAAAACCAATAAAGTTAAGGAATATATTGTGAAAAGGTGATAAAACAGGGGAAGTAACTGAAACATTTTTGAAATACACAAATTATTTATGACATAAAGCAAAGTCTTGGTGTTAATTAACAATGTGTTTGACACCAAAGCTGTCAGATGAAGCCCTGCACTTAATGGGTCACAACTAAGCTGAACTTCCTGTTCATGGAAGAATTACGAATTTCAGTTTGACAGTATTTCAAAGTCAGAAAAATGCAGAGATTTTCGCGATAAAAACGACAGGGCGACCGGGAAACGCCAACGGCTGTTTTGCCAGACAAGCTGGATCGTTTCTGATTTTCTACCTGTTGTCCGGCATTTAAATAATTTAGAAAAATTATCTGATCAATGATAGGCCAACGATCAACATAGTAAAACCTTGGTTTCTCAACTTATGTAAAATGTAAACAAGTCATGACCACGTGGTTTTTTTATACGACCGCAAAAAAATTTTGTGGTCGTATATTGGTATGACGTTGGCGTCGTCGTCGTCGTCGTCCGGCGTCGTCGTCCGAATACATATTGGTTTTCGCACTCTAACTTTAGTTTAAGTGAATGGATCTTTTTGAAATTTGACCATAAGGTTAAATACCACAAAAGGAAGGTTGGGATTGATTTTGGGGGTTATGGTACCAACAGTTAAGGAATTAGGGGCCAAAAAGGGGCCAAAAATGAGCATTTTCTAGTTTCCAGACAATAACTGTGGAACGGTGTATGGATCTCTCTGAAATTATACTACAAGTTTCCATACCACAAAGGGATGGTTAGGATTTGCTTTGGGGGGTTATGGCTCAAACTGTTTAGGAATTAGGGGCAAAAAAGGGGGAAAAACAAGGTTGTCCTGGTTAATGGACAAATACTTTAGTACAAAACATAATTTAAAGCAGTGTAAGGGAGATAAATCAAATACATCATTGAAATTATCTCCCTTACACTGCTTTTAAATTATGTATAAAGTAATGGTTAATGAACAATAAAGATAATCTAAAACAGTGTAAGGGAGGTAATCCAAATACAACGTTTTGGTTACTTCCCTTACACTGCTTTTAAATTATGTTTAAAGAAATGCATATTTATAAAGGAAGACCAGTAAAAATATCTGCAAATTTTTCATCTTTTTTTTTTACAAAAAAATCCATATGAAAGATTTGACACTATATTTTTATTAATTCTATTATAAAATAGATTAAGTTAGCACTATGGTAAAATTAAATGGGTAATTATGGTTGCCAACTCCATTGGAAATTTGAATTGAGATTATGACCATATCTTGAGGGAAAGAATTTTTTGGGGGGAAAAAGGGGGGGGGGATAAAAAGAAATTGTGGGGGGCCAATTTTTTCTCATTTCAGATTTCAGAAATTAAAAAGAATTATTCTTCAAATATTATTTTTTTTTCAAATTTCAAATATTGAAAAATTTCAAGAAGTAATCTTTAATTGCACAGTATGGCGCATTAGATTTGTAAAATCTTTGATCACATTTATTTATTTGTTATGCCGAATCTAACAGTGTATTTAGATTTTTAATTTTGGGTCCAGTTTTCAAATTGGTCTACATTAATGTCCAAAGGGTCCAAAATTAAACTTTGTTTGATTTTAGCAAAAATTGAATATATGAGGTTCTTTGATATGCTGAATCTAAACATGTATTTAGATTTTTGATTTTTGGCCCAGTTTTCAAGTTGGTCCAAATTGGGGTCCAAAATTAAACTTTGTTTGATTTCAACAAAAATTGAATATATGGGGTTCTTTGATATGCTGATTCTAACCATGTATTTAGATTTTTTATTTGTGGACCCCGTTATCTAATTGGTTCATATTGAGGTCAAAAGGGTCCAAAATTAAACTTTGTTTGATTTCATCTAAAATTGAATTATTGGGGTTCTTTGATATTCCAAATCTAACCGTCTATTTAGGTTTTTAATTTTGGGTCCTGTTTTTTAAATTGGTCTAAAGGGTCCAAATTAAACTAGTTTGATTTTAACAAAAATTGAATTCTTGGGGTTCTTTGATTTGCTGAATCTAAACATGTGTTTAGATTTTTGATTATGGGCCCAGTTTTCAAGTTGGTCCAAGATAGGGTCCAGTATTTAAACTTTGTTTAATTTCAACAAAAATTGAATATATGGGGTTCTTTGATATGCTGAATCTAAACATGTATTTAGATTTTTGATTATGGGCCCAGTTTTCAAGTTGGTCCAAATTGGGGTCCAAAATTAAACTTTGTTTGATTTCAACAAAAATTGAATATATGAGGTTCTTTGATATGCTGAATCTAACCATGTATTTAGATTTTTTATTTGTAGGCCACGCTATCAAATTGGTTCATATTGAGGTCAAAAGGGTCCAAAATTAAACTTTGTTTGATTTCATCGAAAATTGAATTATTGGGGTTCTTTGATATGCCAAATCTAACCGTGTTTTTAGATTTTTAATTTGGGTCCCGTGTTTTAAATTGGTCTTCATTGAGGTCCAAAGGGTCCAAAATTAAACTTAGTTTGATTTTAGCAAAAATTGAATTCTTGGGGTTCTTTGATATGCTGAATCTAAACATGTGTTTAGATTTTTGATTATGGGCCCAGTTTTCAAGTTGGTCCAAGTTGGGGTCCAAAATTATACTTTTTTTGATTTCAACAAAAATTGAATATATGGGGTTCTTTGATATGCTGAATCTAACCATGAATTTAGATTTTTTATTTGTGGGCCCCGCTATCAAATTGGTTCATATTGAGGTCAAAAGGGTCCAAAATTAAACTTTGTTTGATTTCATCAAAAATTGAATTATTGGGGTTCTTTGATATTCCAAATCTAACCGTGTATTTAGATTTTTAATTTTAAGTCCCGTTTTTTTTAAATTGGTCTACATTAAGGTCCAAAGGGTCCAAAATTAAACTTTGTTTGATTTTAGCAAAAATTGAATATATGAGGTTCTTTGATATGCTGAATCTAAACATGTATTTAGATTTTTGATTTTTGGCCCAGTTTTCAAGTTGGTCCAAATTGGGGTCCAAAATTAAACTTTGTTTGATTTCAACAAAAATTGAATATATGGGGTTCTTTGATATGCTGAATCTAACCATGTTTTTAGATTTTTTATTTGTGGACCCTGTTATCTAATTGGTTCATATTGAGGTCAAAAGGGTCCAAAATTAAACTTTGTTTGATTTCATCTAAAATTGAATTATTGGGGTTCTTTGATATTCCAAATCTAACCGTCTATTTAGGTTTTTAAAGGCAGTGCTTTAATGCCTTTCTAGTTGCCGGGTTAATCCTTCCTTCCGCGATATCCAACTTATCTACGTGGGGGGTCATTAGACTCCAAGTAGATCTGGAAATGTTGAATTCTCTCCTCTTCTTATTGCGATATAAAATGTTTTTTGTTTCATTTCATTTACATTGGGAAATAGAGAAACGATCATTGTGTTTTGTTAGTTTTAAATACTTTTGATATATTAGTATTTTGCATTATAAGCAGTCAACCGATTGACAAACTAGAATTATTTGAATTCCGTGTGGAAAGAGCTCGGGTTAATTTCGAGTGTTATCTGCAATCTAGATGTTTATAAATCATTTCAGTCGTTGATATAATAATTAAAGGTCGACTGAACATGAATTATATTATACAATTTAAAGCGCATTTCTGTTTATGCACGTGAACCCGTCTAACGTTATTTTCGCAGTTATATAAAGTAGCAAATTATCGTTCCTGAATAGGTGGCGCCGTGGTAGCGGATCCTGTTCCTCTACTTCCGGTTTCTGCACTGTGCAACTATTTCAGTTATATTTTTAATTAACGATGCCAAGTACTTGTTGTTGTGTACCTGGATGTCATTTAAGAGGAGGAAATGCATTTCCAAATGACTTAAAAAGAAGGAAATGTTGGACCAACGCCATGGCCCATACGCAGATTGGACGAGAACACGATGATATCATGGAGTCCATCTCAATCAGCTGTTGACAGTGTTGTTTGCAAGGCACGTTTTACTGAAAAAGACTACGTGCAGGAAACTATTCATGGTAAAACTCTATTTTCCTTGTGAAATATATAGTTATATATGTAATCGCCATGCGAATAAACCAAAGTCTGTTTACAACCGCAATTATCGTTTTAGAATAAAAGGGGGTGGGTAATTCAAGACGTCATAATTTTTTGGATTACGATTCAATGTGATCTGTTTGAGATTTTTTGGTGATTGCTACAATTATAATGATTTCTTACAAGAGGTATATCATACTGAGAATTATTTTAGCAGTAATTATGCTAATGTAGTAATGACAGGAATGCATAAGCTATGCCTCATAGACTTTCTTGAAAAATATCAATGACAATGTTAACAGGAACAAAACAATGACATGCTCTCATCTATATTATAGTTATTTAGGTACAAACAATGTACGTTTGTTGCATAAGTCTCTCATTGTTTGTCCTTTGGATTGACATAACATACATTGAATCAGGCAAACATAGTTTTATCCAGATTGTAATGAATAAATCTAGTTAATATTTCGCCAGGTAGTACAAAGTATACATTGCTAATGGAATTTCATTTAATTATAAAAAAAACTAATGTTTTATAACCTTTTTCAGGGCGCAAACCCACCATACAGAGACTTAAGTCTACTGCAATTCCCAGCCTATTTTCCTGGACCAAGCAAGAGACTGAATCGTCCACAAAAAGAAAAATCAGGGCAGTTTCCTGTGAAAACAAAAGAACTAAACTTGATGAATATTGTAGTAGAAATCTAGAGGAAAGTTTTGATTGTAAAGTTGGTTTTCCTGAAGAAGTCATTCATACTGCAGAAAGGATTTATGACTGTCCACCACCAACTGCCGAGCTAATGTTGAGCTTCACAGATGGAATTACGCAAACACCATCAATGCCTATGTTTTCAGCAGAGAATTTTGAAATGAAGACACGTGACACAGCCATGCATTTTTATACCGGTTTAGAGTTGTATACTAAATTTTTATTTGTTTTGACCACACTTGGTCCAGCAGCACATTGTTTGAGATACATATATTTTCAAATTGATAGGGTGTCAGTTGAAAATCAGTTTTTTTATGACTTTGATGAAATTGAGGCATCATACAACCAACTTTGAACTGTCTAGATTCTAGATTGAATCTAGTGTTAAGAATATTGTGTATACATGGATTGTTTTTATGTCTAAACAGTGGTGTGAGGCTAACACTTGGCCATCTAGTGGTTTAGTCAGGTATTTTTCACCATCCAACTTCAAATTAAAGTTTCCTACGACTTGGATTATTATTGACAGCACAGAATATCCCGTGATAAAACCTAAAGCTCCTAGAGCTCAGGCAACCTTTTCATCAAATAAAAACAGAAACACTGAAAATTCTTGAATGTTCGACACCTGGTGGTTTAGTCAACTATGTCTCTATGTCACATAGAGCGAATTGTTGGACTTGGCAAAACATACAAAATTCTAATAGATCCTATGAATGGAACTGAAACAAAACTTTCATCTGAAATAACATTTAGTTGTTTTATGTTGTGTAATTTTAGAACTTGTATTGTGCCAAAGGATGCATAAATAAAAGTGACGCAATGAATTTTGTTCTGATATATATATATTTACAATTACATGCACATGTAAATTGTAATGCATATAAAAATAAGGAGATGTGGTATGATATTCAGTGAGTTTATCAAACTAAAGTGCATAAGAAATGGGTTTAAGCAGTTACAGGTGTTACTGTCACCGTACAATCTCCAACAATGAGAAAAACTCGTACCCTGTAAAAAATTTCAGAGATCTTACAACTAAGTTTTGTTGTCTCACCTTGACTTTGGTGAATTTTTTATATCTGTTGATGTAAATATAAAAAAGAAGATGTGGTATGATTGCCAATGAGACAACTCTCCACACATGCACAAGAGACCAAATGACACAGAAATTAACAGCTATAGGTCACAGTACGGCCTTCAACAATGAGCAAAGCCCATACCGCACAGTCAGCTATAAAAGGCCCAGAAATGACAATGTAAAACAATTCAAACAAGAAAACTAACGGCCTATTTTATGTAAAAAAATGAACAAATATAACAAATATGCAACACATAAACAAACGACAACCTCTGAATTACACTTTTATAGGCTCCTGACTTGGGACAGGCACATACATGTACAAACAGAATGTGGCGGGCTTAAACATGTTAGCGGGATCCCAACCCTCCCCTAACCTGGGACAGTGGTGTAACAGTACAATATAAGAAAGAACTATAAAAATCAGTCGAAAGAGGCTAAACTCATCAGATGGATAAATACAAATACAAGTGGACGTGGTCGGGTAGTTGTACATCCAAACAACAAAAAGACACTAAGTACAAATCTGAGAGTACTCGCAGTTACTGACAGCTAGTTCAAAGCCACTAACAACTGATAAAAAAATCTTGCATCTAAGACTAAATAATCAATCCGTAAGCTCCCTTTAGAATTTTATAAATTTTACATTTTACATTTCTGAGTTATGGGGTTTTATTCATTAAAAAAGGGGGGATTTTCCAGTCTTTGGACAACAACTCAAAAATGCTTTAAGCAGTTCACATGAAACCGTGGTGAATTATTTATAGCTATTGATGTAATCTCCCTATTGATTTTCATCAATTTCAAATATGACATTGAGAAGAAATTGAACTTTATTTGTTTATAGTCTGGCAACAGATTTATTAAGTATTGCACAACAGCACAGTGTATTGCACAACAGCAAGAAATCTTTAATTGAATATAAATTCAATTCATATAACCGATTTCAAGTTCATTGACTACATTTATTCAGAAACTATAATATGTCAAATATTTAATTACAATCCAAATTCAGACCTGTATCAAGCTTGAATATTGTGTCCATTTTTGCCCCAGCTGTTCAGGGTAGTACCTCTGCGGGTGTATCCAGCTCTGCTCAGCGAATCAGTTTATTTCTTAATTAAGAACTCCTTTTTATACGACCGCAAAAAAATTTTTGTGGTCGTATATTGGTATGACGTTGGCGTCGTCGTCGTCGTCGTCCGAAGACACATTAGTTTTCGCACTCTAACTTTAGTTTAAGTGAATGGATCTCAATGAAATTTTAAAATAAGGTTCAATACCACAAAAGGAAAGTGGGGATTGATTTTGGGGGTTATGGTACCAACAGTTAAGGAATTAGGGGCCAAAAATAAGCATTTTTGTAACTTCCAGACATAACTTGTGTGTAAGTGTATGGATCTCTCTGACATTGTACCACAAGGTTCCATATCACAAAGGGAACGCTGGGATTGATTTTTGGGGGTAATTGCCTCCAAATTTTAGGAATTAGGGGCCAAAAAGGGGCAAAAAACAAGCATTTTCGTTTAGTTACATACATTTTTTTTGTACCTGAGGTCGTTGAATATAGATCATTATATAAATAAGGAGATGTGTTATGATTGCCAATGAAAAAAACTAAGGATTTTCTTATCCAAGGAATAGATTACCTTAGCCGTATTTGGCACAACTTTTTGTAATTTTGGGTCCTCAATGCTCTTCAACTTTGTACTTGTTTGGCTTTGTTACTATTTTGATCTGAACGTCACTGATGAGTCTTATGTAGACGAAACACACGTCTGGCGTATTAAATTATAATCCTGGTACCTTTGATAACTAATTTGACTATAAACATAGATAAAAAAGGTACAAACTGGACATAATGCACTAGTTCATAAACAAGTGAGAACAATCGCCTTCATATAGTGCTCAGAATATGACATTCATAAAACTTATTCAATATCATTAGAGAACTCTAAATCTTAAATACTGAAAGCCACCTGTACTATGCAAGATAATGATATAACTGGACTTAAAATACACACAACCTGTAATTAACTGCCTTTACAGCGCTTTCGTGCTTTGATTAATTTTGGGTCCTGTTTTTTAAATTGGTCTACATTGAGGTCCAAAGGGTCCAAATTAAACTAAAATTAATAAAATTGAGAATGGAAATGGGGAATGTGTCAAAGAGACAACAACCCGACCATAGAACAGACAACAGCAGAAGGTCACCAACAGGTCTTCAATGCAGCGAGAAATTCCCGCACCCGGAGGCGTCCTTCAGCTGGCCCCTAAACAAATATATATACTAGTTCAGTGATAATGAACGCCATACTAAACTCCAAATTGTACACAAGAAACTAAAATTAAAAATAATACAAGACTAACAAAGGCTAGAGGCTCCTGACTTGGGACAGGCGCAAAAATGCGGCGGGGTTAAACATGTTTATGAGATCTCAACCCTCCCCCTATACCTCTAGCCAATGTAGAAAAGTAAACGCATAACAATACGCACATTAAAATTCAGTTCAAGAGAAGTCCGAGTCTGATGTCAGAAGATGTAACCAAAGAAAATAAACAAAATGACAATAATACATAAATAACAACAGACTACTAGCAGTTAACTGACATGCCAGCTCCAGACTTCAATTAAACTGATTGAAAGATTATGTCTTCATCATATGAATATCAGGCACAATCCTTCCCGTTAGGGGTTTAGTATCATACCATCATAACATATATGAGAAGAACATAACCCGTGTCATGCCAACAACTGGTTTTTAAATAAATGTGTTTAGTGCCGATGCAAAGACCCTATAAGTGAATCAATATTAACGCCAAAATATGCAATCTTTAATGACCTGACAACAGTATCGTAACTATATCCCTTCTTGATAAGTCTATTTAAAGGTTTTGTTAGTTTCAGAGGTGAATACTGACATTTTTGTGCTTTATAAAGAATATTTCCATAAAAAATTGGATGTGATATACCTGAACGTATAAGAAGTCTGCATGTTGAGCTATATTTACGAATGATGTCCTTATACCGATGATAAAATTTAGTAAATGTTTTGACTAGTTTGTGATATCGAAAACCCTGGTGTAATAATTTTTCAGTAATACATAAATTTCTCTCGTTAAAATCTAAAACATTGTTACATACACGAGCGAATCGTACAAGTTGAGATATATAAACACCGTAAGATGGTGACAAGGGAACGTCACCATCTAAAAATGGATAATTAACGATAGGAAATGAAAAATCATCTCTTTTATCATATATTTTAGTATTAAGCTTTCCGTTAATGATATAGATATCAAGATCGAGGAAAGGGCAGTGGTCATTGTTAGTATTAGCTTTATTTAAAGTAAGTTCAACAGGATAAATTTCTTTAGTATACATACTGAAGTCGTCATTATTGAGAGCCAAAATATCATCCAAATATCTAAAAGTATTATTAAATTTGTGTATCAGATGTTGTTTCGATGGGTCTTTACTGATTTTTGTCATAAATTGTAACTCATAGCAATACAAAAAAAGGTCCGCAATAAGTGGTGCACAGTTAGTCCCCATTGGAATTCCGATAACCTGACGATATACGGAATCTCCAAAGCGAACAAAAATGTTATCTAGTAAAAATTCAAGGGCATATATAGTATCAAAGCATGTCCAATTGACATAGTTTTTTTGTTTATTGCTACTAAAAAATGACCTAAAAGAGTTTGAACATATATATTCACATTCTGACTTTTTAAATGCCCATTTAATTAGGTGTGTGAATTTTTTCTTAATGAGAATGTGAGGCAATGTGGTATATAGGGTAGAAAAATCAAAACTTTGAACAGATTCAAAATCACCAATATATGCATGCAATTTATCAAGTACTTCCAACGAGTTCTTGACACTCCAAAAGTAATTAATTCCACTATTTTCGAAGGCCTTATTTGAACAATTTATTATCAGGTTTTTGATTGTACCAAGTGTACTGGTAAGAAGAATAGACAATTTAGTAGTGGAACAATGGCTTGAAGACGAAATGAATCTATATTTGTAAGGTATTTTGTGTAGCTTCGGAAGCCAATACATAGTTGGGACTTTCATTGTATTTGGTTCTGCTTGTAAAGCGGTAGCTAAAAGTTTATGTTTGTTACAGATGTCGTTTTCTGAAAATGGAGTCAGTTGGAATGTTGGTGAATTGGTGATTTCTTTTTTCAGAACCTCAATGTAAAATTTACGTCAAACAATAATAATATTATTAGCAGCTTTATCGGCCGGGACAAAAACAAATTCCTTGGCTAGTTCTTTTAGTTTGATTTTAACAAAAATTGAATTCTTGGGGTTCTTTGATTTGCTGAATCTAAACATGTGTTTAGATTTTTGATTATGGGCCCAGTTTTCAAGTTGGTCCAAGATAGGGTCCAGTATTTAAACTTTGTTTGATTTCAACAAAAATTGAATATATGGGGTTCTTTGATATGCTGAATCTAAACATGTATTTAGATTTTTGATTATGGGCCCAGTTTTCAAGTTGGTCCAAATTGGGGTCCAAAATTAAACTTTGTTTGATTTCAACAAAAATTGAATATATGAGGTTCTTTGATATGCTGAATCTAACCATGTATTTAGATTTTTTATTTGTAGGCCCCGCTATCAAATTGGTTCATATTGAGGTCAAAAGGGTCCAAAATTAAACTTTGTTTGATTTCATCTAAAATAGAATTATTGGGGTTCTTTGATATGCCAAATCTAACCGTGTTTTTAGA